ACATTACAAGATAAGCAAATGGATATGTGGTGAGAGCTGGCTGCTAGCCAAAGTTGGTAAACAGTAATTGACGTCAATGTTTATGTCCCCAATATTGGTGGTGAGAAAATTAGAACAAAGGCTTTGCGCAGGCGGATACAGTTAGCGTATGGATGATCTGACACAAGGCGATGCAAGGTTAGCTTCCTGTGAGAAACAACCAATCAAAAGACTGTATTTTCTACTAGCAATAATCTACAATAATGTACATTAAAATCTATAAATATGTGTTAATTTTCCTTAATAAACGATCTTTTGCCTGGCCTTTGTCTTCTGTTGTTACAGATATAAAACGGTCAGTATTCGACCCTTTGGGATGGGTCAGAGAATGGGCACCACGTTCGAACCTAGCATAGCTTATTTCGGTCCTTGGGCAACTGGATAGTTTCAAAAATCCTTAACTAATGAAGTGCGGTTTACAGCCTGACACATAAGGAATCAAGATTGATCAATAAGTGACTTCAGTTAATGAACCATTAAAAACCAGGGTTACTGGACAATGGTTGTCTTCCTAGTTTGCGTTACTTCATCATTATGTACACATGACATCAGCAGGAATAGAATTCAGAGACGCCATCCGATTGTTGATCAATTCCAACTTCTGCTGATTCGCAATCCAGCGTTCGATCTTCGAGGTTATCATAGGTGCGTACCGATGAAGAGTCTCAAGGAAGGACGAAACAGTTGACCCACACTCCCGTGTTTTCAGTAGTTCTCTAACTGAAGTCAGTTCATCATCATCATCGATCTTGTAATCAATCAAACCCCCGTGAACAAACACATGAGGAATCTATTTGTAGGTATAAGTGAGTATACGCTGATTTTAGCACTCTTAATCGTAGAGTTCTTTGTGTTCCTCTATGTACAACCTAATCACAATAAGCACACTGTGGTAGGAGCTAGTTGCAAACAAGCCAAAAATTGTAAACACCATTTTACGTCGGTGTTAAGTCCCGAATCGCGGTCATCAGAAGAAAATACACTAACAAAAGCTTAACCTAGAGGAACTCATCAACTAATCACAGCAGACTTAACTTGTGCTAATACGATTCGCAGATATATGGCTTAACTTTCTAAGAAAGGATCACAGGCATAGACGTGATGTCCGACTATCGACCGAAGGGCGTGTGTACTGCTCAACAGTCCGTTCCGTCCTCCTTTATGGCTGTGAGACCTGGCCAGTGAGAGCAGAAGACATGAAAAGATTAGCTGTCTTCGATCATAGGTGTCTGCGTTCTATCTCCCGTGTGAAGTGGTATAATAAGGTGAGCAATACTGAGGTTAGGCGTTGAGTGCTAGGTAAGGAAGGGAAACCAATCCAAATGGCTGTGAAATTACATCGACTGAGATGGTTAGGACATGTGTTACGTATGCCTAGCTTAGTCATCGCCTTCCTCGACAATGGGCAATGTTAGCTGATATAGGGTCAGGCTGGAAAAGAGCTAGCAGCGGTCAAACGAAAACATGGCTTCATCAGTCAATGAAATCTGCAACAGTTAGTCTAAGCCACGTAGGAAGGTGTAGACTTCCTGACTGGTTGGGGTCATCGGGACGGTAAAAACCAATGGTTGGAAACAAATGGTGATATGGCTCAAAATCGTCGTTGTCAATGGCTGGCGCAGATGCATCCACTCTTTGTGACTCATGATTTCCAGTGAAACTGTTTTGTTCTTCGTTATTACTATTCCTTTCTCTCACACATCTGTTTACTGTTTATATTATGCATTTCTCCTACTTTCTTCTCTTGCTTTGTGTGCTACAAGGAGGGAGTTTGGCGACTTGAACTGCTGCACATATGTGCAAAGTTCTATGTCGAAAACCGAACCGAATACAGAATAACTTTCAGCGAGAAAACAACCAGTCAGAAGCGGTTGCTTCTCCGCTGACAATAATGTGTACATGAAAATCTATAAATATCTGTTGATTTTCTCAATCAACGATCTGTTGCCTGGCCCTTGTCTTCTGTCGTTACACGCAGACACTTACATTCGTATTCACACTTCTTACAGTGGATGGATGCACAAACTGGCTGGCTGGCTGGATTCAACATAGAACTTGGCACCGAAGTGCACCAGTTCGAGTTGCCACGTTCCAAAGAGCACACAAAGGTAGACAAGAAAATGAGTGAAGAGAATCAATAGAGTTTTGACAAGTATAAGAGTGAAACAGAATGAGTAATGGTAGAAAGGAATATGAAAGATTACAGAGACTGAATACATCTGCGTAAGCCATTGACAACGATTTTGAGCCATGTCACCTATTGTCTCCCTCCAGCCATTGATTCTTAGAGTCCCGAGGGCGGGCCCCAACCCGGAAGTCTGCATCTCCCTACCTGACTTAGTTTAACTGTCAAGCATTTCATGGATTGATGAGGTCATGTTTTTGTTTGGCCTCCACTTCTTACTCTTTTCCAAACCTGCACCTATATCAGCTAGTAATGCCCGTCCGTCGGGGGAGGCGATGGTTAGGCATGTGCAGCACGTGACCCAGCCATCTCAATCTATGTAACTTTATAGCCTCTTCGAGTGATTTTCCCTCTTTGCCCAACACTCTACGCCTAACGTCAACATTACTTACCTTATTATACCACCTAACACGAGAGAGAGATCGTAAACATCTGTGGTCAAGAACAGACAATCTCTTCATGTCTTCCGCTCTCAATGGCCACGTCTCACCGCCATAGAGAAGGACGGAGCGAACTGCTGAGCAGTATACACGTCCCTTGGTTGACAGCCGGATGTCACGCCTACGCCAGAGACGGTGTAAGTTAGCGAAAGCAGCTCGAGCTTTTTCGATCCGTGCTGAGATTTCGTCACCAATCAGTCGATCCGTTGGTGCTGATACAACTTCCCAAATAGGTGTGAAGTGGTCAACATGCACAAACGCCTCAGTAAGTAGTGATGATGACATTACACAAAACACGACACCGACTAATACACAGCCAAGAATATCAATTGATACTTTTATTTGACGGAGTTTCGTTTTTTTCTCATTTTTTCTGTACATCATGAAATCACACTGTAACAATAAAAAAAGCACACAGAGATAGGATAGATAAATCGATAGATAGAGAGACTAGTTTTAGAACAGTTCCGATCAAGATCACGATCACGATCACAATAATAATAGTAGTAGCAATAATGATAATAATAATAATCAAAATAGATGGAGAAAATTAGTTCTATTATTGTTAGTTTTATGTTGCTGACAAGGTAGGTGGATGTCTGCTTTTTTGTAAATCACGGATTGCATTTGAGAAATCAAATCCAGCAAAACGACATAAACCTGTTATTCTCCTCTGCCGTCTTTTGATTACACAGTGATCAATTTTGATGTGGGTAGGTGAGGTAACAACAACACGATTGCTAGAGTAGCAGTAGTAGAAGAGGCGAGGGAGAGGGATAGGGTGGATTGCTCCGGGAAGGCTTTGTATAATCAGTGGGCTAATATTTGTGTTGTGTGTGTATGTATGGGTGCGTGCATGTTTCACAGACAGACAATAGAAGAGGAATTGTAGGAAGAGCAACAGAAAATAAACATTAAGTGTAATAAGGGATAAACACAAAGCAAGAAGGGATTCCAACGGCAAGACAACGTATCTCTCGCTCTTTCTCTCTCTGTCTATTTATATATATACACACACACACATTCATGAATCAATCAATATTCAGAGGGTCATCATTCTGTGCAGCATTGATACTCTTCCCCCCTTCTACTCTTTCTTTTGTGAACAGTTTAACTTTCTGGAGATCGTACCAAAAAAGAAAATACACGATCCGACACACATAGATCATCCGGCTTCTTGGCATTGTCTTCATGATCATCGCCACCACACGCACACACACACACACAATGAGGACCATCCACATCGGCGATGACAATTCCTCGTCTGTCTGCCTGCCTCGTCTTCCGCCTCCTTGTGTCTCTGCTAACAGTTTCTGCTACAAGATAATGACGGTAAAAGACGACAGGAATACTGAATATAAAAACTATGCACAAACGCACACAAACACAAACACTGAAGGATTTACATGCACGACTTCTTCCAATTTGCCCTGCTAATGTGTGTGAATTTAGAAAAAGGAAAGTACATATAGAGGAGGTATGTAAAAAACTAACTGTATACAATAAGTAATAGTAGTAGTAGTAATAATAATAAGTAGTAATGGTAATAATTGAGGAAAAAATACTGAATTATGAAAGACCCTTGGTGGAAATATTCTGTATTAACAATTTTGTTATTGACTGTGCTAAGAAAGATTAAAATTACACAAAAGATCAACAAAAAGACGAATTAGAAAAACACACATGAAATAGACCCCTCCCCCTGGTTCCCCTGGTCTCACCTTGCCCCGCTCCGCCCCGCACAATCACACACACACAAACATAATCTACAAGTTGACTGGTACTCATTCAGTTTAATTAGACTGAAGTAAAAGGAGAGGGTGGATCAGGTGGCTAGTGGAGGTGGGAGGAGAAGGCGAGAAATCAAAAATCAATAAAAAAGAGGTCTAAGGAAAAGTGTTGCCACATGATGGTGTATTCTCGTCTGGAAGCAGCGGTAGTCGCGGTAACGTATTAAACACATCAATAATTCTCGGCGGTGGGGTGGGAGACGAGTAAAGGTCAAGGGAGGGGGGAGAGTTAAAATTATTATGTCATAATTATTGATCGTAGTAGTAGTAGTTGTTGTTGTTGTAGTAGTAACAATCATAATGCTACGACTACCCATCAACTATTGTACTGCTTGTTAATTATATTGAGGAGTATTGTACAAGAATGTGTGAATGTGTGTGTAGAAAGGTAAATAATATACATCTGATTTCAAAGAAAACTGAGACAGAAAAGAGATAAAACACTCACTCACTCAGTCAGTCACTCACTCAACTGGCATAGGCACACACTCACACACACAGACACATACATACGCACATGCGTACAGCCATTTTTCCTTCTTGCCATCATGACATTGTAGGCGGTTGACGATGAGAAGTTGAAGAATGATGATTATGATTTGTATTATGCGGTGATAATATTCTTTGATCGGAAACACCTAGAAAATAGGAACATGAAGAAGGAAAGAAAGATCACACAATTAGTATATTCAATCAATCAATAATAATTTACACAAATGTCAAGTCAGTCAGTTCTTCTATACAGGTCAGAAACTTGTACTGTGCTTGCGTCAAGAAAAAGATTTTCAACAAGTTTTACTGCAGACTTTTATCAGCAGCTGTCACCTTCGCCGGCTGGCGGCTTCATACTGAAGATCGGATGACCAGCGGCGAGGAATAAGCAACAAGAAACTCTGACTGGTACAACAAACCAACAAGCAAGAACCGATTGCTCAACAAATATGTGGGAGAAAATGGAGATGGATCGGGTGTACGCCATTGAGGAGGCCGACGAATGACATTGCGCGCTATGCATGCTATCACTCAAGTGGAATCCCGATGGGAAGTGATGAGTGAGTCGACAGTATCAAGGTGACATGGAGGAGATCGTGTAAGCTGGAAGAGATGAGAAATTATGGCCAATCGTGGAGCCAGCCAGCTGAAGAGGACAGCAGAAAGTAGAATAGAGTGGGGATGTGTTGTTGAAGCACTATGTTCCACACTCGAAACCCACGGGAATAATAATAATAGCAATTTATTTTTTATGTATATAGTATATGATATTCCTTTATATTCCAAGTTGGAAATAGGACTTTACGCTGGAGCTTTGAATTTACAGCAGCAATGATACTCCTATTTCTACGGAATGGCGTTGCCATTCTCATGACCAACCACAACATTTCCACTCTGTATTGAACTTACTAACAGTGAGATTTTAGGAATGCATCGGCCGGGATGATGATGATTTATGTTGAATGTCACACAAAATAAAAGACTTGCAAGCGAAAACCGACAGACAAACTGGTCGAAGAAGCAGCCAAGATAGGAATCCAGGTGAACATAGACAACACGCAGGTTATGAAAATAACCAACAAACAACAACAGCAGCAGCAACATCCAGCGCCAATCACCATCAACGGGAGGGATTTGAAAGAGGTTACTTCATTCACTTCACTTATCTAGGGAGCATTGTCTCAACTACAGGCACATGGAACGGACGAGGATGTCAAATCGAGAATCGGAAGGCGAGAAACACATTCATCAACCTGAAACCAATCTGGAAATCTTCGTCACTCAACTCAGCATCAACAAAAAAGTGATTCGGATTTTCAATACAAACGTCAGTCAAGTCAGTCAGTTCTTCTATACGGATGGATCAGAAACCTGGCGGGTCACAAAGAATATTTGCAACAGCCTGTTGCATACCTTTATCAACAACTAACTGTCTTCGCTCTATACTGAAGATCAGATGGCCTGAAGGAAAAAGAACCAACAAGAAACTATGGGAACAAACAAAGCAAGAACCAATCGCTCAACAAATATGCAGGAGAAAGTGGAGATGGATTGGACACTCGCTAAGGAGGCCGCTGGGTGACATCACGCGTCAGGTCAGTGCTCGAGTGGGACCCAAAAGGGAAGTGGCGAGTGGGACGTTCAAGGGTTACATGGAGGAGATCGTGTGAAGAAGAGTTGAAACAGTATGGATTAACATGGATGCAAGTGATAAGTACAGCAGAAGACAGAAGCGAGTGGAGACGTACAGTTGAAGCCCTATGTTCCACTAGGGACCTAAGGGAACAATAATAATAATAATAATAATATCGGCCGGGAATCGAACCTGGACCACATGCTTAGTTGGCGAACATTCTACGCTGTGACGTGTTGGATAAGAGTTGCAATTGGGAAACTATCACTGGTCGTCAGTCGACGTGTCCAAAAAAGGACGAAACATATTTACTGGATTCTAACAACGAAAATACTATGAAACTCTAATCTAAATTCAAGACTGGGGATGACAGGCCACCCAAAACGTCGTTTGGATGGCCCTTCAACTTAAAAACAGTTAACCATTATAGTGTAAGTCATTTGAACAATGTTAGGAGTCTGTAAGCAAAGTCGTAGTGGTGGTGTTATTAGGGGGATGTAACAGCAGTGAAGTATTTCATCACTTAGATGACACTCAAGTCAGCTAGCTGTGTTGACTATCCGTTTTGGGGGAGGTGGACAGTAGTGGCTGTCTGTAGCCAGTGGTAAGATATTGATAAGGATACAACTGCAAGACCCACCTCAAAAAGGGTGTGTGTGATCGGTTTCAAGCAGCTGTCCCCTGAACTCTATGATCACACAAAACTAATGCTCCCTATGTTTCAAGTACTCCCTCCAAGAAGGAATCAACTTTCATAGTGTGGGAAGTCGGGATGCAATAATTTCCCAAAAACTCACTCAACTATAAAATCATCTTGTTACTTCAAAGTAAATGGAAGTGTAATTGAATACAATTAAGAGTTTGACCTAGAATAATGAAACAGGTAAATTTTAATTACAAAAGTTCTCCAATCCAAAAAGATGCCTGTTCCTGAAGAGGCGCAATCTAGGGTGAAACATCCGTCCAGTGCTCCCTTGCATTTTTACTGATGTTCTACAGACAAAAACTTGGACATGATCCAATTCATGAAGTATTAGATGATTGAATGGTTTCAACATAGAACTTTGCACAGATGTGCAGCAAGTTCAAGTCGCCACATTCCATGTAGCACACAAAGCAAGAGAAGAAAGTAAAAAGAAACACAAAATAGAGACAGTAGACAGAGATATGAGGCAAAAAGAATAGTAATATCGAAGAACAATATAGTTTTACTGGAAATTATAAGTCACTAGGAGTGGATACATCTACGCCAGCCATTGACCACGATATTCACCCATATCACCACCAATTGTCTCCAGTTTTTGGTTCCCACCATCCCGACGACCCCAACCCGGAATTCTACACCTTCCTACGTAGCTCAAACTAACTGTTGTGGATTTCATTGACTCATGAAGCCATGTTTTGGTTTGACCACCACATACTAGCTCTTTTCCAACCTGAGCCATCCTATGTCAGCTAACACTGCCCGTCATCGAGGAAGGCGAAGGCATGTATGCGTGACACACGTCTTGACCATCGCAATCGACATAACCTGGGCTTCGGTAACTTTAGCACTTCGCTACATTACGACTGTACTAGGCTGTTAAAGATATATTAAAGGCTAAGGAAGAGCAAAATTTATCATCCCAATGAATGCTTATTTTTAGCTATGAGTAGTCAAGTGTAAAACATGTTGACCATTGAAAAAAACAACGAACTAAATCAGATCGTTCCACCTCTAACATCCAAGACATACTAAGCGATTCCATCCCAATAGACTTACAGTTAAAAAGTTAGGTTTACGAGATTGGTCGGGCCAGTCTACTTCCAGTTAGTAGGTTCAAGGGTTGAATCCCTCTTCAGCTACTTTAGTCCGTACCACTGGACAGTTTTTGGTAGCCTGTACCACAAATGAACCGTTCCTGACCATTGAGGTTAAAAACATTGAGTTTTCGATAGGGTTGTGTTCTCTGAGCCGGATAGTTAATTTGCGAAGCTTTCATCGCCCTACTAGGCGACATCTTCAGCGCATACTTCAATTTGAAGTGAGCTTTTGGATTTCTCCACGAGTTTATTAATCATCTCTCCTGGAGAAATCTAAAAGCTCACTTCAAATTGAAGTATGCGCTGAAGATGTCGCCTAGTAGGGCGATGAAAGCTTCGCAAATTAACTATCCGGCTCAGAGAACACAACCACATCAAAATCATCCAACTGAGCTACGAATCTTCTCTATCACATTGAGTTTTTCTCAGACATAAGATGGAATAAGGCATGTAGCAAGTCCCAGTCCCTTCTCCCCACTTAATGTGTCTAATAGACTAACCCGGGCCATTTACAACTCGACAGATAAAGACACAAACAAATCCGGTTACATCTGGATCGCATAATAAATACACCAACTTATCAAAGGAATGATTTAGGATAATAAAAAAATGTACCAAAAACTTACCGGGTAATGGTGGGATAGGAGAATTTCTCGAAACACAAAATGTATACGGGGGATTAGATATAAGCGGTCCTGTCGACGACGGCCGCGTATTTTGTTCATTGATTAATCCAGGTGAAACAGACAAAAATGTCAATGGTCGACTGGAATTCGGATAATGCTGATGGTTAGATAAAGACTGAGGAGGAATCAAAGCAGGAGCAGGAGGCAATGAAATGCCATTGATGGCAGAAGAGGATTGAGGACTTGATATATCATTAAAGCTTATCGTAGAATTATTTCCAATCGATGATTTTAAACAACCATTCTCTATATTTTGTTTATCTACACACTTGACTGTTGCAGGGGGATTTTGATAGAAAATACTATTGACACCACCTTTTAAATTCGATGGGAATATATTTGCCGGTAGATAGAGTTTACTTGAATCTCCAGTACCAGCTCCAAGAAGCGTTGGAGAACAAGCGGAAAGAATTAACGGTGAAAGATTAAGCCGTCTAGATACATCAATATATCCTTGAGATGATAATGACGGTTGATTAGATAGATTTGAAGAGAGAATAGACGGAGAATTGGAGAGTAATGATTCACGGGAACTATGCACATCAATTGTTGCTCTGGCAACATTTAAAATAGGAATATTAGTTGTTGTAGAGGAGATTGTACCATCATCAGATATATCTGAATAGGCAGGACTTGCAGCTGGAGGTTCATCGTCTGGAATATCTGACACAATATTATTATGATTATTACTAGTGGTAGGAGTAATAATAATGTGGTTATTAATAGTATCAAATTTCGACGTTGTTGAATCGCCTATCCCTGTCGGATGGACACCGACACCAGTGAAAGAATCAGGTATGGAAATGACACGATGAAGTTTCGGTGGTTCAATATTATCATCATTTTCATCTCCATTAATGAGCAGCAGGCTTGTATCATTGCTATCACTACTACTTCTATCCTTAATAACATGTGCTCTAGCCAATTTTGGTGGTGGAGAGGATGAACTGGCAGATATATCACAGATCGATATTTCCACATCATCATCTTCTGCATAGTGATCAACACCATCCACACCATCATCATGATGATTGTCGATAACGACAGTATTCTTCTCAGTTTTCATTGAGCTCATCTGTTTTCTTTGAGAGGGATAAACAGTGGATAGACACCACCACCTTGTACCGATGATTCAGTATCATTCGTTTTTTGTATACTATGCCCTAGAGTAAAATGATATCGCATACTTAAAATATCAGAGAAACGTTTTTTACAATCAATAAATGGACAATTCAATGGAAGATGGCTACTAGTTGTTGAATCAGAATCACCAGTTGTACTATCAGTGATAGGAGGAGGAGTCTCGGAATTATGTACAACAACATTATCATCAATTGGTGCTGATGATTTGACTTCAGAAGAAGTTGAAAGATTTTCATCAGAAAGAGATAGACCAGTGTTAACTGAATGATGTATTATTGGTCGTCGACTAGCAGCACCAGCGCCACCACCGGCACCACGACGTCTACGTCCTTTAGCACCACGTTGAGGAATGTCAGAAGGTGGAAGAGTTCTTTTATTACCAAGATTATTATGATTATTATGATTATTAAAAGTTGTTTCTGGAACCATATAAGGTTGGTCTATACAATCTGTTGAATAAGGATCAGGATTTGTAGGTTGTTGTTGTTCTTTCGAGTCGACATCTGTCTCTGTTGAGTCTTGTGATGCTGCAGCAGCAGCAGCAGATGCTGATCGTGTCGTCATTGAACCGCCTACACCATGTCCGCCACCAGCACCAGCACCAACACCGCTACCACCTCCACGACGATGATGACGCATATGATGAAAGTGATGAATACCACGAGCTTGATAACCTCTTTGTGATGTATCACACCAGGCTTTTCGTCCACGGAGAAGATTTAATGCACTGGCTACACCTTTATCCATACTATAAAGTACAAAAAAATACACACACCTAATTAGGCATTTCAAATAAAATATCACGACTTAGAATTACAGATAAGCAAGGTTACTCAACAGTGCGTCGGTGGCATAGTGGTTAGGACGCTCGCCGACCATGCACATGGTTCGGGGTTCGATCCCTAGCCGACGCACTCCTTTACCTCGCTAAGCCAGAAATAATGCTGGTAAAGAGGAAAGGCTAGCAAACCCAACCTGTAAAATAAACATTGCTACAGAAACTTCAAGCCACTAGCTTGAAGCCCGATGTTCAAGTGGGGAACGTGAAGGAAAAAAAGGTTACTCAACTAATGGAGAAGATTTGCAGCTCAGGTGGATGATTTTGATTTAATATATGTGTAGAACTTGGGCACTGCTGAGGTAGTAAGTAATTCCACATTAGTTTGTTTATGAGATATGTCACACAGTGAAGAAACCGTATTATTATTTACTGGATGACAATGGTTCGAACACCATTCATTATTGTTCATAATCATTTCATCAATTATAATCACACGACTTCGAAACTTTATATAGTTTATAGTTTTTTATAGTTTTCTTTGTTCTTTCCTATTTGCCGTCGTTGGGGAAGTAGAATTTTCCAGATATCTGGGTGGACAGGTGTTGAATCATTCTTATTACACGTATTTGCGGTTGATTCGATAAACAAAGCTTCTGTTATCAATCTCTCCCTCCACCCTGTGACATTAAATTTTAAAACTGGCATCCTATCGCATCCTATTGAGCGGTTGTGTGTAATTGCATGTAGTGAGTGGTATAGCTGAACTATTCTCTAGATTTCTTATCTTATTCGGGTCAACCAATCTAGATTTTGCTAAGTTTTTATGTTCAGCTAGTCTGACTGCCCCTGTTCTACTAGTTTGACCTATGTATTTGACCTGACAATCATTGCAGGCAAGGTATTAGATAAACTAAATTGTTTTGTTTTAAAGGCTCCATTGGCAGGATCTTTTAATCGACTAAGCTTGTTTCTAAATGAGTTTGTGAGTTTGAATACCAGCCACATTTATTCCTGCATTGTTCAAGATTTTCCTTAAGGTGGTTTCCGAGGTTCCTTTTTTGTATAGAAGTACTACTGTTGACTTAGACTCCTTTTATTGTTGGTGTTGTCATTATCCTGCGCATGTTTGACGTGAATGTCGTCATTAATATTACCATTATTATTATTATCACTATCACTACTATCATTATTTATTTTATTTTTACATTTCCCTACATATTTCCTGACTAATTTATCCGGGTAATTATTAAGTTTCAAAGCTTCTCTCTTATGCCTCACTTCCTATCTGAGATTTTCCTAGGTACTACTAAGTTTTTGTGCTCTATTATTGAAACATCTCACCAATCCGATTTTCACTGACATAGGATGGGATGATCAGAAGTCCAAATATCTGTTTGAATATGTGGGTGGAGGCAATTCAATTCACTTATGAATTGGAAAGTCAGGAAGGGGAACTTCCAATGTTAGATTGCAACATAAAAAGGGGAGAAGATGGGAAGTTAAACACACTAGTGTGTGTTTACAGGAAACCCACACATTCAAACAGATATTTGGACTTTCGACTTTATCGCGAAGCTTCCGTTGTCTCCCTTTCTAGACACTCATGAAAACAAAACGCGTAGTTCAGTGAAGAGTCTTTTTTCGGCGGCGAATTCATTCACTTAACTAGCTGTACAATCGCAATTACTTTCAGTTATTTTTGTATGTGTGTGTGTGTGTGTAAATTAGGTTTGTTCGATAAGGATAAAAATAAGTTAGGGTTATTATTGTCAAGATATTTCAAAAATGTGATCAGTAATCATATTGTAACTACGGGGTTGAGCACCGCTGAAGAGTCTCAAACTAAGACGAAACATCTGGCTGTCCAGTACTCTCCCTGCAGGTATTCCAATGCTTCTCTAACCGATGTCAGCATATGGTGAAATCCTTTAACCGACAAAAATGATTTATTTCTAAAAGAATGGTTACTTATAATTATTCTAAGAATTGTCTGCAATAAAAAAACGACGCCAATCAATAAATGACAGAAACACAGTATAGATGATACATTTTTTTATCTCCAAAAAACTTACCATGTTGGCGCAAATGTTTGCTTAGATGAATCCAATAAAGTACCCATATAATTACGCCCACGCCAATGAAGACTTAGAACAAGCATTCCTGACAGCAGTTAATTAACAACAAATGCAAAACATGTTTTAGTGCATGGAGAGAATCAAAAAAGTGAGAAATTAAACGCATACATTAAATCATGAACAAACAAGTAGACTTGGATTCCAGTCTTCTCTAAGATGAGATGGAAACCCACAGATATGATATTATTCGCTTGGATTCCGAGTGGAACATCATAGGGCTTCAACAACACACCTCAACTTTCTTCTCTTTTCTACCATCCTCTTCAGCTGGGTCCACTATTAACCATAATCTCTCATCTCCTCCATGTTACCCTCGCACAGACGACCCACTCGTCGCTCCCAATTTGTATTCCACCCGAGCGATGGTCTGCATTCCGTGCGATGACATCCAACGGTCGGCAACTCTAAACAATAGGAACCCAAACCGAAACGACCTACGAACGCACAAACGACCTTGTTAAGGACAACTTCGACCAATCAGAAGGCTAAAAAAACGGCGCATAATTGTAAAAAATCGTTTATATAAAAGTAAAGCAATGTTAAAAAATAGTTACAAAGGATAAAGTTCTTGTATATGTTGCAAAAAAAGCTCCCAGTTTCTCATAGGAGTCTTTATACTCATGTTAAACCAACTTCTGTACATAAACTCATCCAGATAACTGTATATCATTGGATTTCTTGATCCGTTCACGAATCTAATCCTTTTTTTCAGGTGACTCCAGAAACTTTCGATGCAATTAGTATGAGTTCCATCCAAAGGATTGCGAAAACCGTCTGTGTGATTGACTACATGATGAATATACCCGAGATTCGACAATTGACCATAACTACTCCATTCGTCTGTGTGAATAGTGGTCCCGGGCAGCACTAAGCGCTGGATAATAGGCAATAATACACCAGCACTGCGATTAGGAATCGCAGTAGAGGTGTAGAGCATCCATAATTACTTCTAGAAACAACAGAGTCACCTGATTGGTTTCTCAAGGTCGTTTGTGCGTTCGTAGGTCGTTTCGGTTTGGGTTCCTATTGTTTAGAGTTGCCCAAAGGTCTTCTCAAGGTATCCCTGATCCATCTCCATTTTCCCCTACATATCTGTTGAGCGATCGGCTCTCGATTATTGATTTGTTGCAGGCTAGAGTTTCTTGTTATTAATTCTTCCTGTCCACCCGGCCATTTCATCTTCAGTACAGAGCCAGTGTAGGGGACAGTTCTTGATGAAAGTCTATCACTTGTTGGAAATCCTTTCTGTGATACCCAGTGTAAGTTTCTCACCCACACATTGGTGGTGAAAATTCAAATCTTGTTCTTTATGCTGAGTGCAGAAGATTTCCAAACTGACCTTTTGACAAAATTTAACTCATGCTGTGGTGAGAGCTGTCTACTAGCCAAATTGGTAGACAGTAATTTACGTCAATATTTACGTTCCCAAGATTTATCGTGCGAAACAACCAATCGGAAGACTGTGTTTGTTCGTTTACATAACCATAGTAATGTACATGAAGTCGTGAGAAACGACCAATCGGAAGACTGTGTTTGTTTGTTTACATATCCATAGTAATGTACATGAAAACATATAAAAAATATGCGTTGATTTCCTTAATAATAAATGATCTGTTGCCTGACTCTACCTTCTGTCGTTACAATACTATCCGAATCTTAACTTCACAATCAACAGAACACGAGACAAATGATACGTTTAAAATTCCTGGATGTTTGTTTCTCTAATGTAAAAAGGACTGACGACACAATGGAAAGATCTAAATTTTAGAAAGTCTTCATGGACAGGAGGACAGTGCATACATAAATTTTAAAAGTTTTGCTTCAATCCAATATAAAAAGAAATTAGTCAGAACACGGTTCATTAGAACACGAGAAATTTGTTTTGACAGCACAACTGAACATGTAATAAAGATTCTAAAGGATATTTTTTTTTATCTAAGAATGGACATCTTGAGAAGTTAATCAATAAATACTCGAAAGAGATTAGGTTCAGTAAAATTATTTAAACAGTTCCAAAGATGGAGCATGATGGAGCATTACTACCAAGGTAGTTGAGAACACCCAAAGTCAAACTGCCTAAAAGTTCAGTAACAAAGCATCTTGTGGACTACGGATATCATATTGACGCTGTCAATCAAGTCATTCACTGTTGTCAGCAAGCAGGCAAACAAACAGGAAGATGTCTTCAACTGCCGAGGAGGCTTGTTCAATCAGAGTTAATTAACCAGGTCTCTGTGTACAAAAGGAAATGTTGGTCAATATGATCTACCATAGTAACATGTTTTACTTATTAATTGTTATTATTATAATTATTAATATTATATCCCACCTCTTATTATTACTGTAACGACAGAAGACAAGAGCCAAATAGCAGATCGTTTATTGAGAAAATCAAGAGAGATTTATAGATTTTTATGTACATTATCGTCAGAGGAGAAGTAACCGCTTCTCATTGGTTGTTTTCTTACTGAAGGTTATTCTGTACTATTTGTAACCGCTTCTCAGAAAGTTAAGCCATATATCTACGAATCGTATTTGCACACGTTAAGTCTACTGTGATTGGTTGGTGAGTTCCTCAAGGTTAAGCTTTGTTAGTGTTTTTTTTTCTCATGACCGCGATTCGAGACGTAACATTGACGTAAATTGTTGTTTACAATTTTGGCTTGTTCGCAGCCAACTCTCACCATATTACTATTTCTAATTCATATAGAACCATCTTTTATCATTACCATTATCTTAACTCGTTTCAACATTATTATTAGTATTATTGTTACTATTATTAGCACTACCATTTTTATCAATATCATTTAGTTCTGTCACAATGTAATTCTAATGGTATATATGTCCTTGTATGCAGAGTATCCAGCTGAGGAGAAGTCCTACTGAAATTTGATGAATTCATTAAATCCTGCTTAAGAGGTCTAAATCCTCAGGGGAACACCTAGTTAGTCGGCATGGAAAAGAGCTGAATATATATCTAAGAAGTTGTTGCTGGCTTGCCGGCTGGATTCAACATAGAACATGGCACTGAAGTGCAGCAGTTCGAGTTGCCACGTTCCAAAGAGCACACAAATGTAGACAAGAAAATGAGTGAAGAGCATCCATCGAGTTTAGACAAGTATAAGAGTGAAACAGAATGAGTAATGGTAGAAAGGAATATGAAAGATTACAGAGACTGAATACATCTGCATAAGCCATTGACAACGATTTTGAGGCATGTCACCTATTGTCTCCAGCCATTGATTCTTAGAGTCCCGAGGGCGGGCCCCAACCCGGAAGTCTGCATCTCCCTACCTGACTCAGTTTAACTGTCAAGGATTTCATGGATTGATGAGGCCATGTTTTTGTTTGGCCACCACTTACTCTTTTCCAACCTGCACCTATATCAGCTAGTAATGCTCGTCGGGGGAGGCGATGGCTATGTGACTTTATAGCCTCGTCGATTGATTTTACCTCTTTGCCCAACAATCTACGCCTAACGTCAACATTACTTACCTTATTATACCACCTAACGCGAGAAAGAGATCGTAAACATCTGTGGTCAAAAACAGACAATCTCTTCATGTCTTCCGCTCTCAATGGCCACGTCTCACCGCCATAGAGAAGGACGGAGTGAACTACTGAACAGTACACACGTCCCTTGGTTGATAGTCGGATGTCACGCCTATGCCAGAGACGGTTGTAAGTTAGCGAAAGCAGCCCGAGCTTTTTGTATGGCCGTGCTGAGATTTCGTCGCCAATCAATCTGTTGGTGCTGATACAGCTCCAATAAGTTGTCAGAAGCAGTGATTCACAGTTGGAACAAAGATCGATCGGCTGAGTTCAGTTCATCTAGGCAACAACATCACTTCTTAGAGTGAATCTAACAAATCTAAAAGGGACATACGAATGACACCGATTCTCTACGAATACTTTCGAAATGAATTGATCAAATCCACTGTTGTTTTTTCTCTGCTGCCGCGTTCACAGTCCACCAGCTTCATAAAATGGTATCGTAGGGTAAATAGCAACCTGTTATCTCAAAACCGACGACAGAATATGTGGACAGTGTCGATGATATGATTTTCCACTTGACATCTGTGAAAGTGGCAAAGTAGGAGAGTCTTACTTTTCCTGCATTATCTCTACTCAGCGGAACCAAGTGGGATAAATAAATTCAGATATGCTGCTTCCGATATTTCTATTGGTTGGAAATGGTATCTGTACACCAGCCAAGAACATTTCATTAGTTTCTCCAAGCGTGATGGGCTCATATATCCTCAAGGCTAATCTGATGCTAGATTTGATATGAGTGATTAATGCAAGCGATGTGGATTCGACGCGTGAACGAATACTAATCTATTCGATAATCAGAACCATAATAACAAAAATACAACTAGTACGGGAAAACAAAAAGAGTAGAAGGACCGTGGACATGTTGGTCTACCTAGGGGGGGGTTGAAAAACTCTGATTCCAACCCTATGGCGGTCTATGTGGGTTTCAGAGTTCGAACCTGTTTTGATCACCAATAACTATGGGAACCCAGCTCTACTGGCTTGTGGGTTAAACTCCAAGTCAAAGGCAACCACCAACTTCGATCTGGACGTCCGCGAAGTATACCAGCAGCCGCACAAACTACTACTAAACCTCCTTGAGGAACACTAAAAGCAACAAATGAAAGATCCGAGTACAGAAATATTGGAAAACATGCAACAGAGCTGACAACAACAGAGCTAATCAGGCAAAAACTAAGGAGCCCATCATGTTTGCGGTACCAATAAAAATCAAAACTGCAGGTGGGCACAACCATTAGACACATTGCAAAAACAAAAATTAACTCACCTGTAGCCTCCATCCAGACAACACCTTCTACAATAATTTTTGTACCCGGTTCACACGGACCCAATAGATTCGGTTCAGTCAGTGTGGCGCTGTCAACAGTAGACGTTGACGAATCAACATATACACGAGAATCTTTGAGAGTAGTAGACAAACCTCTCTACAATTTAACAGAAAAAGAAATAATAGGTCAATTTTATAGGATACTACAGGAATTATGTAAGAATTTAAGTAAAACAGACGACTCGTATACACAGCTTATATCTTGCCTCCTACACGGAAGGTGCTCTTATAGGAATTTAGATCTAAAGTCCAACTGTTTAAAGGTAAGCGGATATTTATAGCTCGTTGATTGAAGGACTCGAGTTTCATGCAATGGATCTTGGGTTGGAATTCCGCCATACCTATCTCAGTCTGTGCAACTAGGTAATACTAACAGGTCTTACACAAGAATTGTCGCTAGTAGCTTAGCACAACAACATAAACCTCTCCCAAGTACTCGTGTTACAATATGACTTTATAAAGCACCTTATATCATTTGTTACGTGTGAGACAATTGGCTATTGAAGTATATAAATGTTAGCAGTAACATTAAGAGTGTATATAACAGCAAAGGTGCATGAGTGGACAACACTCAAAAATGGATTAAATTGAGCAGAATACTACAGGTATGAAGACTATATAAGTGCAAATTAGTACAAGTCCCTAAACATCACACTGAAGTGTTATAGTGATTATGGATAAACATCTTTTAGAACCTTCAGCATTACGCACCCACCGCCAGGATTCGAACCCAGGGCCTACTGGTTACAAGGCGAATTCGTAGACCATCAAGTCACTGGGACCCGACTCAATCGCCTGTCGACGAATTCTACCTTCTACTAATTCGTAATCTTAGGGAGAACACTAGCCAATCTCATCGGCGAATATTCGTCCTCATGGTCTATGAACTCGCCTTGTAACCGGAAGGTGGTCCTGGATTTAAACCCTGGAGGTGGGTGCATACTGTCCAGTACTCCCAGGTGGAATTCTAATGGTTCTCTAATTGGTGTCAGCTCATGATGAAATCCTGTAACCAGTCAAAACCAATCCCTGAAAACCAACACTTGAATATCTTTTAGACGCTCCACAATCACACTCACTTATTGGAATTACTTCAAGAAGATGAAACAGAGAGCCTTAATATTTGTACATAGTTTGCACAGGCAATCATGTGAAAAACTAACTAATTCAGTTTTCGACCTGGGACTTTACTGCGGCTCAAGTTCCCATAATCCATATAACACAAAAACGTGAAATAGTAAATGAGAAAGAATACTAACGTGAAAAAGCATAAGGTGATTAATGAATATGGGTGACCACAAAGAATGGACGCATCTAGGCCACTGAGAACGATTTTGAGCCAGCGACATCACCAACTACAGGCGGAACTGACGAGGATATCAAAGCCAGAATCGGAAAAGCTAGACAAGTTTTCACTACTCTCAAGTCTGTATGGAGGTCAACAGCACTAACCATCAAAAATAACATCCGGATTTTCAACTCCAATGTGAAGTCAGTCAGTGCTACTATACGGATTAGAGACTTGCACTGCGCGTCATAAAGAGTATCTCAAACAAACTACAGACCTTCATTAACAGTTGTCTTCACTCAATACTCAGGATCAAATGGCAAGAAACGATCAGCAATAGAGATCTCTGGGAGCGAACCAACCAGGAACCGACTGTGCAACAAATATACAGGAAGAAATGGAGTTAGGTGGATTGGCCATACTCTGAGGAAACAATGCATCAAGTGACATCACTAGACAAGCCATTGCTCAAGTGGAACCCGAAAGGGAAGCGGCGAGCTGGTCGTCAGTGCAAGGGTCACTTGGAGGAGGTCATGTGAAGAGGAGATGAAAACGTGTTGGCAGACTTGGAGCCAGGTGAAGACTCTAGCAGAGAACCGAACGCAATGGAGACGCACGGCTGAAGCCCTATGTTCCTCTAGGAATTAAAGGAAACAACAATAATAATAATAACATCACCACCAACAGTCTCCAACCACTGAATCTTAACGTCTCAAAGACCTCCACCCAACCAGTGGGTAGCGGTTAGCTCAGGCCAACAGTGAAATACTTCATAGATTGTGCGTCGGTGGCATAGAGGTTAGGACGCTCATCGACCATGCACATGGTCCGGGGTTCGATCACCGATCGATGCAGGCCTGATACCAATGGCTGGCCTGCTGAATTTGGGCTACCGATACCACATGATGAAAACTCCATACTTGTATCAAAAATACTGCACGGATTCAAGCTATAATAAAAAATTTTCTAAAAATTAATGCAAGATCTTCGTCTGATCACCCCTAATTCCCTTTCAAATCAATCCTGTATCAGCTAACGCTAACGGATAAACGAGTAAGGCGGTGACGGCAGTTTCACAAGTCCATCAGTTGACTTGTCCTCTTTACTAAACACGCTTGACGTTTAACTTCAATATTACTCAGCACATTGTACCACTACTTAACACGGAAGATGAAAAGCAAACTCTTGTGACTAAAGATTTAGCTCTTTGAAGTCTTCCACTGTCAATGACACGTCTTGTAAGAGACACAAAGGACGAAGAGAACTGCTACACAGTACTCACGTCCATTGATCGGTACACGGATATCACGCTTACGCCAAAGGTGATGTAAGCTGACATAGGCCTCGTGAGCCTCTAGTATCAGAGTGGAGATGTTGTCAGCTACCAGCCTCCAAAGCCTCAGGATGGTCGGGGGTGGGTGCCTTGCGCTGCGAATTGGCCACCCCTCCGCACACCTCTTCAAATGCTCCCATATGACCGGGCGTCTTACACAGCCTCTCCTGAGGATGTCCTACTCACTGCCTTCACGTGGCGGAGGTGTTTTTCACCAAAGTGAGAGGGCGAAAGCGGATGGGCGGCGCTCATCACCGGGTTGACTGTCCATAGGATGACAGTATAGAGGAGATGGCTAAACCCTGATTCCAAACCTCCAACGACTGGTGTATGAAGCTCACTGGAGCTCACCGGCAGACGTATGGACAAAGGGCTTGTTGGATGTCCTGGATGTCTGGCCCCATTCAAAAAGGCGTATGAACCGAACTCCGGTCACCGGCTGCCAATGGATAGTGGACTCCCTACTCCACTCCTACTGCCTTGTAGGTCACACTTGGTTATGTAAAGGCTAGAGCTGCACTCTCAAACAAAAGGCCGAGCGATTCTGGGGACATCACTCGTACCAAATTCCCATGAAACTTCATGAACTCTCTTCATCAGATCGCCGCGCCTGGGCAGTGATGATTCGAGATGTTCATGAAGCCGGCTCATCCTCCCGTAGGAGATAGCCGAAGTATAGTAAGTAAGTAGTCAGCTACCAGCCCACTAGGACTGATGCAACTTCTCAAATAACTGAGATAGACAACAGATTCAATCACGACACTTCACCGCCTGTCTTTACACTAGGAGTTGGTGTACAAACCAGTACTGTAGCATGATCTTACATTTGACAAGGGACTAACAGCATGCTAAATATATCAAAATTTTGAAGTGTTGGTTTGTAGGGATTTGATTGGTTACAGGATTTTCATCATGAGCTGACATTAGTTAGAGAACCATTGGAAAACCTGGGAGTACTGGACAGCTGTTTTGTCCTAGTTTGGGACTCTTCATCAGTACGCAATCACCGGGATTCGAACCCAAGATTTCTTCACAGAGTGATACGTGTGGCAGTAACTAGCTAGTGAATAAAGACATGCATAAAATGAATGAGATGAATACAAACAACTGGATCTCACTGTTAGTCAACCCGCCAGACAAGTAAATTCGAATTATGAATCATGGTAATATTGAAACAACCTCGCCAAATTTACTGACTAGTCGATTTTGTCGACTTTGAAAACGCCTTCGACAGCGCGTTAACCACGAAGTAATTTCGAAACGACTTCAACACTGTGGAATGCAGTGACCCAAATCTTTATCAACCTCATTCATCAGCTGGCTAGCTATATGACAATGACGTGTTAGGTGATCCACAACAACAACAAACAATTCAGAGAAGCCTTCGAAGTGGAAACTGGAGTAAGACAAGGCTGCCCACTACTATAATCGATTATATTCCTAATTACGGCGAACTGGACCATTCGGCTGATGCTGGGTACGCAGCGAGAAGACAGAAATACGCTGAACTCTGCAGAAAACTCGATCTGGATTTTGCCGACGATCTATATCTAGTGTCATTGAAACTCGAAGACCTATATGCGACAACCAACAAACTGGCAGAAGAAGCAGTCAGAGAAGACAGGAATTCAAGTGAACATAGAGAAGATGGAGGCAATGAAGATAAGCAAACGACAGCAACAACAACCAGCACTAATCACCATCAATGATAGAGGTTTGACAGAGGTTACCTCCTTCACTTATCCGTCCAGGAAGCATCGTTTCAACTACAGGAGGAACGGATGAAGATATCAAAGCTAGCTAGAATCGGAAAGGCAAGAAACACCTTCATCAACCTGAAACCAATTTGGAAATCTTCTGCACTCAGCCAGCGCAAAGAACAAGATTCGGATTAACAACACAAATGTTCTTCTATATGGGTCAGAAACATGCACTGTGTGTCACGAATATCATTAACAACAAGCTACAGCTGCCTTCACCTACTCCATACTGAAGATCAGACGGTCAGAGGGAATTAGCAAGAAAGAACTCTGGGAACAAACCAATCAAGAACCTACTGCAGAAAAAATATATTCCAAATGAAGTGGAGATGGATTGGACACACGCCAATGAGGAGATCGTTGAATGACATCGTGCGCAATGCAGGCCACTGCTCCAGTGGAACCCGAACGTGAAACAACGAGTAGGTCGTCCGAGTGTGACATGAAAGAGATCGTGCGACGATAACAGTGACTATGGACCATCGTGGGTCAAACTAAAGACGACAGCAGACAACAGGACAAAGTAGAGATGTGTTGTTGAGGCCCTATGTTCCACTGGGCACCCAAGGGAACAATAGTAATAATAATAATACTGAACCATCTTTTGAAGAAGTGAGCACACGACAAAAGGAGAAATAGTTGGAATTGAAAAGGAAACCCATGTTTACAACCGCATATCGTCATCAGCATACTATAATCGTCCTACTTCTCTGGTA